CTCCCGACTTTTCGGTTCAGTCGTTCCCGTAGCTTAACACACTCTCTCGACGATGCACTAACCGCGATACACTAAGAGATTCTTTGATGGACTCGATGACCCACTTGGCACTCACTGGCCGCCTGTCAACTCGATCGTCTCCGCCCGGACTAACTAGATGAGACACACTAACTCGCACTGCGGACCAGCAGGGTTTATATAGATTTCGGCTTATGTTCGAGAACATTCTGGGCTAAACCGGTAAGAATTCGTTCCAGAAGGTTCTCCATCCGTCCATGATATATCGCCAATTTTGTCGCCAAATGTGCGATGTCTGTGTCGCCAAATGTGGCAAACCTGACTTCCCTTGCCATTTGTGGCAACCATAAACTTGCTTTACGGGGAAGCTATCTTACCGCGCCTGTACATTTCGTAACAATATATATATATAATAAAATCTTAACGTGGTAAATATTTAGGTAGTGTTTGCTTGATTTAATGTTTTATTTTTTATTGTGCCACCATAACTCTTACTGGCAGGGGTTGTTCACAATTAAAACACAAAACATTAATTAAATAATTCCAAATATTTCTTTAAATAGCTGAGCAGTCCGTCGACTTGTTGCAAAGTCGCTTCGTGAGTCTTCGGCATCTGCACAGTGAGCTCTTCTTCGCCTTCACTTCGCTATCCTTCATTCTCGGTCTCTCCCCTTTCTTTCTTCGCAATATCGTCATCTGTCAAGCGTTCGAAGCCAGGTTCATTGACGTCACACTTCAACCACTAGTTAATGTTTTCATCATCGACGTTCTCGCCAACTGGAACTGTTTTCACCACATCGGCAAGAGTTGCCGTGGGCGCGTCTACATCTTCATTCTCTTCTTCACAACTCAAAGGGGTTAGGTTGTTGTTCGCTTCAACATTAGGCATGAGTTTTCTCCATGATTTTATGAGGGTTGACGGTTTCACTGAGTCCCATGCAGATGCAATATCGTAGATGCTGTCCAAGATTGTGTAGTGTTTCCAAAACTCTTTCAGATCATAACCTTCTTCAATTTCGGTCATTAGCAGCTTGGTTCGGTATGTTCTCTTCATTGTTGCAATGACTCCTTGGTCCATGGGTTGGATTAGCGCAGTAACGTTTGGGGGAAGAAATTTTGCAAAAATTTGTCCATCAGAAGACTTTAGCACGCTTGTTGCTGGGTGAGAAGGTGCGTTGTCGATCAATAGCACAGCTTTTTCAGGCAGGGTTTTCGATTTAAGATGTTTTCTTACTTGAAGAACAAACATTTCTTCGAACTATTCTTGAAAAATGTTTCGGTTCATCCATTCTTTTTTTTTTTTTTTTTTTTTTTTTTTTTTTTTTGTTAAAGTAATCAACGGGCAAATTTTCTATCCTTGTGCCTTTGAAAGATCTCGGTTTTTTTTTTACTTTTCAATGACCACAAGTCCAAGTTTGTGTCCACCGGTAGCGTTACTGCAAGACATGATAGTGATCCTTTCCTTGCTGCTTTTATGACCCACCGCTTTACTTTCATTTTCAAATGCTAAAGTGCGAGTGGGAAGACATTTCCACAAAAGTTCCGATTCGTCGGCATTGTAAATTTGTTCAAAAGATAGCTCTTCTTTTAAAACAAATTCTTCAAATTCATGGTGGAAATCGTCGGCTGCTTGTTGGTCACCACTAAGTTTCTCCCCATGAAGTCCAATTTCTCGAATTCCATGTCGCTGCTTAAAACGAGTCAACCAGCCAGAAGACGCATCAAAATTTCCTTTCAGGCCTAACAACTCAAAAAAGGTTTTTGCCTTCGCCGCAATGTGATAGGACCATTTACAGGAGTACCCTCTTTTCGAACTTGAGCTAACCACTCTGTCAATGCCGTGTCTATCTCATCAAAGGTAGAACCCTTCATAGTTTTTCGCATTTTCATTGCGGAAGCACTGTCCGACATTGATGCAGAGTTCACCAGTTTGTCTCTTTGCTTTAGAATGTCACGCATTGTTGTTTCCGCGATTCCGTAATCCAATTCCATCTTCTGCCTTGTAGCGCCGTTTGCTACTTTGGAAATTAATTCTAGTTTTTGCGCAATCGTCAACACAACCTTTTTTCTTTTTACTGAGATTTTAAATCGGTAACCAAAAACACAAAACCAAAAAGCACAACCACTGAACACAATAAAAGATAAGAAATTAACTCCGACCTATTCGCAAACACTATCCGGCTTAAACTAAAAATGGCGAGTGAGAGGAAGTGGACGCGTCAGTAAAATTAAGACGAGAGAGGGCGGTGGAGCGGACACTGCAAGGGTGAGTAAGAAATTACTAGGTTCCGAGAAGGCTTGGGATATTTTTGCCATAAATAAGCACGATGTTAGCAAATTTAACGTTTCGCTCAGTTTTGTGAACATTTTTATTTTCTTTGCTTTACGCTTGTAAAAGAAGAAAAAAAAAAAAAAAAAAAAAAAACACATTGCGCGGCAGGCGCGTAAAATCGGGATCGGGAGACATTGGTTTTTTGTACAGTTCTTTTCCGTGTTCCAACATCAATCATCGAGTTATTATGGACTGTACTCATCAAACGTATATCCTTCTTGTCTTTCCAATTCGCAACCTCATTTTTTTCTCTTTTTCTGTTGAGTAGACGTTGAAGCCATCTCTCACTGTCTTGTATCTTATATAAAATGGCGCGAATATTCATAAAACCCGGGGCAAATTCAATTAGAAATAGAATGCCTGATTAGTGCTACCCTCTAGGAGGTATTAGAACAAACAAAAATAAAAACTCAAACAAGTAAACATTTAGAAAGCGTTTTAAACGTTTAAAAGTTTAAAAATGTAGAAGAACGCTTGAAGCGCGTTAGGGCCGCCCTACAGAAGTTTCACTTGAACACGCTAGACGCGTTAGGTACGACGAAGAGGTTAATCATGGTTCTTGGTAGTTTTGGTAATCCTTGAAAAGACGTGCTTATTTGTAATGTGTCTATCCGGTTATTATTTAAATTGGTAGGGTTATTCATGTTTTTTGGAATTATTACTTTGAAGTTTATTTAACTCTGTGATGACTTAATTGTTAAGTTTAAATCCACTTAGTGATAGTTTCATGCTCATTTACCAACCAGGTAATGTTTTGTACCAACTAATGAAGGGTACCATCACACTTTTCTTCTTTTTAGAGATTTAACATTTTTCACACATCACTATCAGTGATTTAACATTGGTGCCGTGAACAGGATTTTTTTTTTTTTGTCTGGCTCCATCAATTCAGGGCACCATTACTTTAACAACATAGCATTATACCTGCTAAGTTTTTCGAATATATATTATCTTAAGAGCTTGAATATATTGTTACGAAATGTACAGGCGCGGTAAGATGATTTTCCCGCAAAGCAGTATTAGAATTGCCATAAAATGGCAAGATAAGGCAGGGTTGCCATATTTGGCGAGAAATCGCCCGTTTGGCGACGTTTGCGACAAAAGTGGTTATATGCCATTTAAGGATGGAGAACCTTCAGGAACGAATTCTTACCGTTTAGCCAGGAATGTTCTCGAACACAAGCCGAAAGCTATATAAACCCTGCTGGTTCGCAGTCAGTTAGTATGTGCCTCGTCTAGCGAGCTGATAGTCAATCATTGAGCGAGTGTCTCGAAGTCTAGAGCCGAATTGGTAGTCGAGTGCATCGAAGAGTCTCTTAGTGTATCGCGGTTAGTGCATCGTCGAGAGAGTGTGTTAAGCTACGGGAACAACTGAACCGAAAAGTCGGGAGCTGTGCCCTGTGTGTCGTCGAGGGCATCGTGATTTGTAGCGTGGAGAGTCTCGAGAGTACGTGGAGTTTGGAGAACGACCGAGCAGAGTCGGGAGCTGTAATCTTGTGCTTTGCAGTGAAGCTGTCTCCACTGTTGTAGCCTGATAACCTGAAGGCTGTGTCGCTGATTGTTCCAGCAAGTGTATAGTAGATCTTCCACGACTGTAAAACGTGACTTTGGAGCTGTCCTGAGTAATATTGGCTAAATAAAGTGTGTTTCGATATTTCATGAAGTGTCGTCGTTATTCACTCCAAATCCACACGAACCCCGTACGAACGAGAAGGAAGAAAATAACGTTACAATTGGTGTCAGAGAAGAAAAACGCAACAATATTTTAAAGATGCACCTGCTTATGTGTGCCTGTGTAACGGTATTGAGACGAAAACGTGTCACCACCGATACGTATTACAACACCTGCGAAGTTAAAGTAATTTATTTTTATAAAGACATAAAGTAAGAAATTTAAAACTAATTTTTCACAAAGACGAAAATTTTGAAATTCATAATTAATAAATTTATTAATTATGAATTTCAAAATTTTGCAACAAAGAGTTTAAAAATGTAAAAACCAAATCTTTTAAACAATCAAGGGGCCTTTAATCAAAAAAATTTCCTTAAAGAAAAAAGAACATAACAGAAGAGTAATTTATAAACTTCAATGCCACTTATCAAATCAGTTGAAACCTCTCTTCTACAAAAATCCTTGCTTTCCTATATCCAGAATTAGCCGACGAACCATTTGAAAGTATTTTAATTACAACAGTTTACGCGAGAATTCTGGCCCTTCCCCGAAACAAGGGAAAATAATTCAATTAAAACTTGTATTTAAAAAAAAGAGAATTTTATTTTGTTTTGGGAATTGAAGCCGAGAAGTTAATAATTAAAATACTTCAGTGAAAAAATAAATCAAATTTTACTTTAAGTATATATCACATAATCAAAGTATTTTAAACTTTAGTGAAATTATAAAGCCTAGGTGAAGAAACTTAATTAAAGCACACATTAAGTAATTAAAAAATCTTGAGCATTTTCATTAGACTTGAATGGAAGCAAGTAATATCGAGAGTGTGACTTACAGGTTATACTTTTACATTTTTTTATAAATAAATAAGTTTTAGGTTTTTTATAAATAAATATACTTTTTATAAATAAATATACATTTGGGGAATTAGAGTATATATATATAAATTGTAAAAAGTTCTTTGATCATACATTTCAGGATGTCTTCAGTTAAGGCTTTGTTTTGCATGCTTGTATGTTTCATGGCCTTCGTATCAAGCTGTCAAGGAGACTTAGAAAGCTTTGCTAATAAAGCTTGGCAAACTGGGGTTCGCTACGCTCAACAAACTCGGCAAGCTTGGCAAGGGGCTGGAGATATGTTTGATGCTTATAGGGAGATGAGAGAAGCCAATACCATAGGAGCAGACAAATATTTCCATGCAAAGGGAAACTATAATGCAGCACAAAGAGGACCTGGAGGAAAATGGGCAGCGGAAGTAATCAGGTAAGTTTATTATTTGAAATAATTAGAACTGGTGAGTTTAATGAAATCCGCTTTCCAAAATATGGCAAATGAAACCATAGTACGTTACTACTTGCTCGCTTGAGTGTGTCTACAAGATATCACATTTCTTGACGAAAGGAGGTTAAGTAGTACTGAACTACTTCCTAAATTTGTTTTCGCAGTTAATGAGATCAAACTCGATAACTTTTATTCATAACTGAACTGAATAATATCACTGAACCAATTGTATTCGAACGCAATATCTATTGAAAAGTATTCACACCGGAAACTTATAATTTGAGAGTAATTTATATTCTATTAAATGTAAATTTATCTCTCCCACTACGCTATGGTATGGTGGCTTTTAGGAAGGACTGATTGGAATCTTGAAATGAATTTTAAGAAACGTTTTGCGAAGGACATCCGTCAGTTACGAGAAAATATCGACAATACTTTGTGAATGTGAAAACTTAAATTTAAATTTAATCATTTTAATAGAAATTAAATTTTAATTAAAAATCTGGTGGACAAAATTACTTTTCTTAAATATCTCGAGAAATACAGGACAGAAATAAATGAAATTACGTATGGATGTAGCTTATTGTATGATAATCATGAGTACAAAACAACAATGAAAACGCAATTGATTAGCATGGAGTTATAGCCAAGAGGCCAATGTTGTCCAAATTTGAGGTTTAAAGAGTGGCTAGCCATATAAAAATATGGCTAGTGTTGTGTGGGGTCACCTCGCTCAGTAAAAATATGGCTAGTGGTGTATGGTCACCTCTGGCAGACAGACAGAATGCATAAAAAGTAGCCATGTTGTTAATAAGTGAGTTCAAGAGTGCCTATGGAAGTCGCACTCACTCCTCCACCAGAGCAATTTTTAGCTCCTGAATGATTCTGGCTGGGGGTTGGGTTATTGTAGTAGTCCTCTGAGGAGCATCCCAAGCATGTTCAATAGAATTAGGATCAGGAGATTTGGCTGGCCAATCCATTTGGCAAATATTCTTGTTTCCAGGTAGTCATCAAACAACACGGGCCCTATGTGGTTGTGCATTGTTCTCCATAAAATGAACTCAAGGCTAACAGCTTCCCTGAAAAGTCGCCCATACGGTTGTTGAATATCCTGCCTCTACCTGTTGGGCATTCACGGAACCAGATCCAGGGTGCGAATATCTTCCATCATTCCTACCCAGACCATAACTCCTCCAGCACCATAATGGTCCCTTTTCATAATGATGCTGGGATGGATCGTGTCCAAGGTTTCCTCCATACCAATAATCATCGAGAATCAGGTTATAGGCTGAATATGAACTCATTCATGAAGATAACATTAGCCCACTAAAGCTGTGTCCAGTGTTTGTGTTGTATGCACCATTGTAAACCCTCTCTTTTCTAGAAGGGAGTAAGTAAGATGCAAATAGCGGGCTTTCTGGCATACAGTCCTGTCTCATGGAGCTTTCTGGCAACTGTCTTTCTTGAAACTGATGTTCCTGTGGCAGTAGCGAGGTCACAAGCAGTTGTTGGCTTTAGAAGTCCTCTGGTACTTGGCACAAATTACCAAATACCAGTCGTCATTGGTCGTTGGGACTCTTGCGGACGTCCTTGCCCTTTTCTTTTAGACATCGTCCCGTTGATTTTAAACTGATTTCAGAAATTAGAGATGACATTTGGTGTTATGTCCAGTTCTCTTGCAACCTGAGATTGGGATTGCACTACTTCAAGTTTACCCACGATTCTTCATCTTGTACCTTTGTCTAAGCGATGATGTGTACTCATTTCACCTAAAAAAAAAAAAAAAAAAAAAAAAAAAAAAAAAAAAGAATTATTCAAGGAAGATCATAAAAATCACTGGTGTGTTCCAGAGCTGAATGAGCTGAAAGCGGACTTTTATACTTCCTGCTGGCGTAGCGACGCACACAAGAACACATGAACTCATGTAAGTGACACCAGCGTCACAGTGATATTATATGACCATTAACTCTTTACGTTTTGTCTGATATTTTAGGAGAAATATGGGAAAAATGTTTTCCATCTCTAAATTTTTTTAGTATATATTCAGAAAATTTTGTCAAGATCTACGAGCGCGTTTTCGTGAGGGAGGGATATCTTGGTCAAATGGAACAAAGAACTTTAAAAACATCAAAAAGTCGGAACTTATGCAAACTGAAAATGCTGTCATCATCCAGACGGAAAATGCAAATCGAACAAACGGGCCTCTTCTTCGAACTCTTCAACACTTACAGGTAACTTCTTCTTCCGGTTAGTTATATGCAGTTAATTAGGTAGTTACTAATAATTATCATTCGCATTCTGCTTTAGGCACTACCCAGGTTTACCCTTTTACTTTCGTGGGGATTTAAAAAAAAATATTAATCTGTGAAATGGCAAATATAAAGTGTGCGAATACAGCTGTACTCAAACATGTGTGCGCTATGCACATGCATGATAAAAAATGTACCAAAAATATGGTAATTTTATTGAATGTTGAGATTCCGAGTGCAAATAATCAAAAACTACCTATAGAGGTGGACTCGCATCAAATTCTTCCCTGAGAGAAAATAAGTACGACTCATTTCTCGTAAAGTCCTATGTTTGTCAACCCAAAACGGCGGCGGACTTTTTAATTGAACTCTGTATACATTACATATTGCTATTTCCGAGAGTTACTACTCCCTAGGGGTACCACGAAGTGCGTGGAGCATACTGAAAACGCTTAAAACTGGCCATCATACTTGGATGGCTTGCGCCACTACCTTCTGGGACAGCGTAGACAGTGAAAAATGATTTACAGTAATGTTTATGCTTATTTATTTTAATCTAATGTGTGTACCTTAGTTTTCAGAATCCCAGAGCTAGAAATCCCTCGGAGTGAGTCGAACGATCGCGGTAGCCACGAAACCTTAAAGTTTCGGGAGATGACTATCTTAAAACGTTTTGCACTTTGAAAACTTGCAACTAAAATGTAAGATTTTTTCTTTTGTCCTCTTTTGTGTTGTCGCTGGTCGTTTACAGACCTTTTTCGTAATATTTTACACCGGCAATTTTTGTTATATGTGTATATTTCCAATCCTATTTATGGTTTCCCAATGCGCTGATCAGTTTGCGCAGAAACACAACGGAGGTTTCCATTCGAAAATTTCGAAACGGTAACCGTGAGAGCTCTGTTTCCTTCATAATCTCGAGCGCATTTCTTCACGTAACAATAACTGAAATTACATATCCATTGGTTGAACGGATAAGCCACTGGGAGTTCACCCGAAGGGGAAGTTTTTTATGACCGTCCTCTACGTCCTTGTGACTACTATGAGCAATAAATAAAAATAAATAAAAAAAATCATCTTGGAAAGAATAAGCTATTATAAACACTTCAAATCGACGACGCACACTCTATACTCTACCGTGCTGATATTTTATTTATCCTGTCTTAAAATAGTACGTAAATGTTTTGTAAAATTGTTATTACTTCAAGTGAATAAAAGTAACTAATTTGTTTCCTTCTTTTAAAATTTCAGCGACGTTCGTGAGATGTTACCTTTTCAGTCTTCCGGTAACCGTGCTGCAGATTCCATATTGGATAAAGAGGCGAATGAATGGGGAAGGAATGGTGGAGATCCTAACAAGTACAGACCTAATTATCTGAATCCAAAATATTAAGAGAAAGACAATTTACAGTAATATTTGTGCTATTGTAACTTCTCTTGCTATTGATAAAAATTCAATGTAAATTGAATGAAACATTGGACCATTATTTCTGTTGTTTCACTAGCTTTATTTCTTGCAAATGAGTAAAAATAAATTTGCATATCACTGTTCTTGCGTAGTATTTATTTTTCTATTATCGTAGCTACTGATGGAGGAAATGCTATCTTTGAAAACAAAAGTATAGATAGGAAAATTAGTTTTTTAAAAATTCTTTAAAATTTTTTTAGAGTGGGTTAAAATAAGATAATTTTAAAGAAGAGTATGAATAGACAAAGAAAATTCCAATTTCACGGCAATTAATTTATAAGAAAATAATTCCGATGATGATAAGCTGGTGCTACTCATTATTCTTTCCAGAAAAATAGTGTTATTTACCAAATAGTATACTGAATATTATCAAGAGTATACTTTGGATCATGGAGAAAAGAATAATTACAAAGATGTCTGAGTCGAGAAACTAAAACTGTTAATGATAGTGTGTTATGGTCGTGTGCTTACACTATAATAGTACGTTATGGCGGACAATATCCCAAAAGTGTTTCTGTTTACAGAGAAATTAGCTGCATATGAGGCATTTATTCAGTATAATGATGGATTTCAAGGTTGTTTAAAAATATTGTTACAGTTAAACATAGAAAATTTTGGTTTTTTGCATTGAAGAGATATAAAAACTTAGATAATATTTGGATTGGTGATTGTATGAAACTCACTTCTCCTAAAAAATCTAATGTGGAAACCACGTGACTTACTTGTATTGCCAATTAAATTATCGCATTTTTTGCTGCCCTTCACTTAAAATTTTTTCCTCGAATTACTCTAAGTTAATTAACCCTTCAAACAAGTTGAAAATGACATCAAAAACGGCAAATGTTGAAATAAAATATCCCGCTCAGGTTTTCTCGCACGCGAGTCAAAGTACTTTTCTTTTTGGCATTTTGCGTTGAATCACTATAAACGGGTATCACTTTTTAAATTGCAGCCCCCAAATATTATCGCCCTGTGTTATATTTAAAGATATGAAATATGAAGAATCTGCGTAAATGTATGCATGTTTCTCGCATTGTGATAAAAGAACGGTGCATAGAGCCATAATATTTTGAATAATGCTATGTCTCACGAAATATGTGCCTTTTATCAATCTTTTTTTTTTTTTTTTTTTTTTTTTTTTTCATGGAAGCCCTACTTTGGAATTAGAAATTTGTTTTATTATCGATTTCACATTTGTAACACTTTAAAGAATGAATGATTAACAAACTAAACGATTTCAAAGTGAGCAATGGCAATATTGTACGGGGAAAAAATAATTTTTATCACCAGTGTGCGAGACTGTGTATCGGAAATTCTAAACATATGCTCATTTTAAAATTATTTTGCGATATTGATCCTGAATTGAATTTTGTGATTTGAGGGCGAATGACATGATATTTAATAAATAAATGTAACACAGAAAACGTTAAAAACATCCCTTTGGGCGTAATGTAAAATTTGAAAGCTTTCAGATTTTTGTTAGACTTTTAATTAATATCCTGCTGAGTTTTTCTCGTACGGGAGTCAAAGTTCTTGTACTTTTCATTTATCATCACGAGTACAAAACGTTACTAAATATATGTACATGAATTGGTAGATCGCATTCAAAATTAGATTTCTTTATTTGTGCAAAATTAATTTTCTTTTAAAATTTGACATTACCCAAACAGGAATATTTTTGCCATTCAAAACACTTGTATACTTGAAAGTATAAGACTACTACCAACGACTGCGAAAATGAAGACCGAGTAAGGACTTTTAAACAGTGTAAGGGGTCAAGCACGTCTATATGTTGGTATTGCCGATTGCAATAAAAAAAGGGGAGATGCACAACTAGATGTTGTAGTACAAAATTTCACGTACAAAATTTCAGCGTTCTACGATAAATCGTTTTTGATTTACGTGAGAAACATACGTACATACGTACGTGCGTACAGACGTAAGAAAAAATCCATTTTGAATCCATTTTACACTTCGTTTGCTAAAAAAGAATCCTTTATTCCATCCGCACAAGTACAGATGTCGTGCAGAAAGTAGTTAAAATGAATTTGGAAACGGTCAGAATGGATATTTCCTCTGAAATCTGATAATCAAATTTTTCGCAATTCCTTTGCTTTGTACAGGGAGGTAGAAAGGCACAAGAATTTTGAGAGAAACAATGGAAAGAAAATGAGTGTGTTAGACTCTACTTAATTTGAAGGCTATAAATTAGTTAAAAAAAAGGTGATATGAAGTTAAATACTATTTCGTTTTCTCCCCTCGAAGCGGATATATATAGTTATGCTCAAAATAATTTTAAAATTTCCAAGAAAATTGTATTAAAATGAAACAAAGGAATGAACCATTTACATGACTAGCCGCTTAGAGTAATAATGATTTGAAAATATATATATATATATATAAAATGGTTTCTAATGAGTTCAGCTAATGTTATTTCATAAAAGAATTTAATATTTCTCTTTAGGATACGTCATAATTTAAATGCATGTTTATTTCAATCAATCAGATTAAAAATTAGAAAAGGTATTCTTAAAAACTGCATTTAGAGCATTTACATCGCTTAGTTTGTTATTCATTAATACTCAGATTAATTCGAAAGTTAAATATCTTACTCTTCACTGAATGGAAGTTTGAATGTCTGAATGCATGTCTATAGACGGCGAATCACTATTTAAATTGTTGCCACCAAATATTATCGCCCTGCATTATATTTAAAGAAATTAAATAAGGAAAAATCTCCATGAATTTATGTATTTTTCTCGTTTTGCCAAAAAATAACGGTACATAGAGCCCTCAAATTTTGAGTAACTTAATCCTCCACCCGAACATGGGCACCTGGAAGCCCAAATTTTGAATTTCAAATTTCCTTTATTACCTCTTTCATATTCTGTAAAATTTTAACAAATTTTCAATTAAAAAATTCGACGATTTAAAGCGAGCAGTAGCAACACTGTACAAAAAAAAAAAAAAAAAAATCTCTATCGTGCGAGACTGTCTGTCGGAAATTCTGAAGATATGCTATTTTTAAACATTTTGCGATATTGCTGTTGGATTGAATTTCATGTGGTTTGAGTACAAACAACATGATATTTAGTAAATAAAGGCAACACACAAAACGTTAAAAAAGTCCCTGTAGGCATAATATAAAATCTGAAAGTTTTCGGATTTTAATTTCTCTTCTTTTTTTTAATCCTTGCCATATTTTTCAGAACCGTAAATCACACAACACGTAGGCAATATACAGGAATGTAGGAATATCTACCGAAACTTTTATCTAACCAAAAACATTTGTTAAAATAACTATTAGTCTTAAAAGGCTATTTAGATTTGAAATGGAATTTTGCGCTGAATCAGTATAAATGCGTTATGTCACTTTTCATTCGAGTCTGTTGCCATTCGATAACATCTAAGATATTCATTTTCCAAACTGAAGCTGTCTCTTGGGGATTAATAAACTAAGATGTTTGAAAGCGATGATGCTGTCTCCAGAATATTCGTTTCTTACTTTAGAATGGGTTTGATTTAAATAATAAAAAAAAATCTGAAAGGTTTCAGATTTTAAATTACGTAGAAAGTGACGTTTTGTTTTACGTTTCGTGAGTTACCCTTATTTATTAAATATCATGTTCTACGTACTGAAACCATAAAATTCAGTTCAACAACAATATCGCAAAATAATTTTAAAATGAGTCTATCTTTAGAATTTCCGATACAGAGTCTCGCGCGCTGGAGATAAAAATATGTTTTTTTTTTCGGACAGTGTTGCCATTGCTCGCTTTGAAATCATGTAGTTTGTTAATCAAAAATTTGTTAAAGTGTTACAAAATATGAAATCGATAATAAAACAAATTTAAAATTCAAATTAGGGCTTCCACATGTCCGTATTCTATGGAAGATTGCGTTATTCAAATTTTGATGACTCTAGGCTACCGTTGTTTTCAAAATCGTAAAAACAACCTTGTATTTAGCGTAAGTATATTGAAACACTTAATCGATTTCGAGGGCAGCTAAAGGTCCCTCCTCATCAGGAGAAAGAAATACCATGAAAGAAGAAAAATAAAGTCTCAGAAACACGTGGTCCTGATCAGCACTGCACGTGGTTATAACCGGATTTTTAATCAGAGTTACACTGGCCACCTACTTTTACTGAGCCAGGCTATCTGACATGTAACAAAAGGACAAGAAAATTAGCGAAGTTAAAAATAGGGAGCGAGGGGCAACTGCACCTTCACACTGAAAATCTGAACCTAGAATAATGTAAAGTAACCACTGAACGGATTTTTAATCAGATAGCCTGGCTCAGTAAAAGTAGGCGGCCAGTGTAACTCTGATTAAAAATCCCGTTATAACCACGTGCAGTGCTGATAAGGACCACGTGTTTCTGAGACTTTATTTTTCTTCTTTCATGGTATTTCTTTCTCCTGATGAGGAGGGACCTTTAGCTGCCCTCGAAATCGATTGAATGTTTCAATATACTTACGCTAAATACAAGGTTGTTTTTACGATTTTGATTGTTACATTAGCGTGTTTCTCTTCTAGCCTACCGTTGTTTTATCACAGTGCGAGAAACATACATACATACATGCAGATTCTTCATTATTTAATTTTTTAAAATATAATGCGAAGCGATAATATTTGGTGGCAACAGTTCGAAAAGTGAAACAACGAAATTAATAGTCGTTCTGGGCAAATTGCCCCTTTGAACTAAAAATGCATTTAATTCAGGATTTATTTAATTAAAAATATTCAATATTTTCGTAGAATGAAATTACATATTTTTTATTATTTTTTTATAAAAACTTTAATGAATTTTCGATTAACAACCTGCGCGATTTGACAGTGAGCAGTGACAACACTGTACGGAATGTCTCCAGCTCACAAGACTGTCCATGAAAATTCTTTTCAAAATAGGATGTTTTTAGATATTTTGTGATTTTTGAATTGAATGAAATTTTTAAATTGAATTTTATGTGGCGTAAATGCGAAGAAAGTGGCATTTAATTCATAAAGTTAATACACAAAACGTCATTAATAAAACAGACAAAAAGAAGTTTTGCCAGTTTACTAAGAGAACTGAACATTG